TGTGTAATCAACTCTTTTAAAATGAAACTGAAAAACAGATCCAGTTCATTCTTCAGTCAGGTGAGATGTCTATGACAGCCCCGGCATGATTCATCCAGAAACTGTTTACATCTTATAGCCAAAAACTCCAGCTGGGGAGGGGAAAGCATGATTCAGTGATCAAATATAAACCTCAACCAAGTCGCATCTGAGTGAGAAGGAATGCCTGGCATGTGCACCAGTGGAGAGGCTGCCAGGCCGACAGTTAGTTTCATCTGTGGCGAGGAGCAGCTGGGACTCCTGGGACGTCATATGTTAATGGAACTGCTTTTGTGTCGCTGCGCTGACATGCCATCGTTTGCCCCCACAACTCTCCATGTAGTGTCATGACCTGAAGGAAACTGGACATCAGAGAAGGACTTAGTTATCATTCTGCTCAAGTCAAAGAACGAGTGGAAGAATGAACGAGCAATACTGATGCTGAGAACTGTAGCACGTGGATGTCAACTAACGCTTTCAAACAAACGAAGTCATTACTTTCTGTCCTGTGACAGGCAGCCTGTGGAGTAGGACTTTGTTGAAGTCCAAAATATAAAGCTGAACGTTGTAGGTGCAACGTTCGAACTTTTGAGTGAGATTTCATACAGCATGGATTCATTTGCAGAATCACAAGTGTCAGTGCATCTAAACAAACCCATCTATTTTTATTGAAAGGCAGAAAAGTTTGACACATGCTGGAAAAATTACAATGTATTTAACTGATCATCACAATTTTTAGTGACACAATTAATTTGCAAAAAAAGAGAAAGAATGTAGCTAATAATGTTTTACTGATGACACATAAAAGTTGTCACATGTCATTGTTTATCGACTTGCAAACCAACCTTCTTCCAGGGGAATAAGTTGCCATTGTTGTGGGATAGAATTGGATTTTAAAACTGCTTTTAATTGAGTAAGACAAGGGCCAAATAAGTGCCATATATATAAGAAATTTCTACATATTAACCCTCTTGCCCTCATTATCTTACTTCATTTTTTCTCCTTTGGAGGCAATTACAATTTCTTTTGCATCCTTTCACATAGCTGTATATCAATGAATCTATGTAGCTATATACCTAACCCCACACACAAGGAGTTTATTACTGTAATATAAAGTCCTCGCTGGGAGATGAGGAATAACAATCTCCTTTTCCACAAGTAAATAGAAGGCAAGCACTTTTTCAAATTTTCTTAATGTGGCTATGTGTGAAAATAAATGCAACTCACGGAGTATGTATTACTGCTACTATTTAGTCTTGTTGGGTGGGGAGGACAATTGAATGGAAGTTAAAGCATACACTCAGGAAGCAGATTTAAATGTTTATCTCTGCCATCGCTCTATGCTTAGGTTGCTTCATCTGTAAAATGGGGATGCAGACATTGTATACCCCAGAGGATTACTGAGACAATCCAATGAACGCGTTTAGCACAGTGATTGGCACATACTAAGAACTCAGACTCTAGAAGTAGGAAAGACAACTTGATAGGAAAGAGAGACAGTTACTGCGTGTGTGCACATGCACTTAAGCTGAGAGTGCTGCAGAAAAAATCTTTGCCTTTATAATGATCTTCTCTTGGGTATTTGCTTTCAGAAAATGGGATATGAATTTCTTTTTAAGATTAGAAAATTACATTGGAAAGTTCGTGTACAAATTTGGAGCTTGAGATTTAAAACTTTTTCTAAATATATTTTATTTACTCATTGATTTATTTTAGAGAGGGGAGGGGAGGGAGAAAGAGAGGGAAAGAAACATCAATGTGTGGTTTCAGGGACCTAGCCTGCAACCCAGACATGTGTCCTGACTGGGAATCGAACGGGCAACCTTTTGTTTCACAGGCCAGCACTCTATCTACTGAGCCACACCAACAAGGGTGAGATTTAAAACTTTTTGAATACATTTCTCACTTTTCCCTGGTAGTGTATTGAAGTTATGGATGAAGCCATATCGGAGTTTTCAAATTTCAAAGACTCGAAGTCTCAGTGAAAGGTCAATGGCTTTCCTGTGACTCTAGCTTTTGCCCTAATAATTGCTCAGGCCACCGTGCAATCCTTTGGAATCCATTTTTTCAAATTTTCGTTGGTACCTGTTACCTCTCTTAATCTGCTCTCTCACATGTGACAATATAATATAATCTATTCTTTTAAAAGACTCAGCCTTCTCCTTCTAGACCACCACTCACCAACATATGAAATTTAAAAGAACAAAAGGAAAATACTTTCAAATGGAGCAGGTAGGCACCTAAGCGCACATCTCTGCCATATCTGTCTTCATCGCCACCACCTGTCATGCCTCAACTCCTTTGGTCTTACCAAATGTACCACAGAAGAAAAAAATGTGGGCAAGTGCTGACAGAGAGGTGGGAGAAACTCAACCTGCTGGCAAACAGTAGTCAGACATGAAAATAGAACCAGGCACATATATCCAGTTCCCCACCACCTCTCCTCAAAGGACCTCCCGGATGTCAATATCACCTTGGCTCCCATGACAACCCCTTGACAAAGATAAATAGGCGTCAAATATGCTTTTGCTCCTAGGACCTCTGGGCATTGGTTCAAAACACAAATGCAAAACTCAGGCTGAGTCAGTCTCCTGATGTACCACTTAACAAAAAAGCCACAGAAGGTAGGCTTGCCAGCCCACACTGCTGGTCTCGCCTCTGCAGCGTTGTCAGCACCCTCGAAAAAGTAGGTTGATAACACGAAGAAAGCAGTTTCTGTTGGCATTTTCACGCCCTGTGAGACAGGCGCATGTTCTGTTTATAATACAAACATGACTCTGGAGTTCGGGGATCTTTTGGGGATGCATGCCAATTAAAAGATCTCTGATCACAGGATTACGGTCTCCGTTTTAAACCTCGGTTGAACCTGCAGCAGGTGAATCGGGGCCTTTCTTTGAAGAGAAGGTCAGACAAATAGCGAGTGAATTTGAGCCATGAAGCCAATCCTTCTAAAAAAAATAAGGGCTTGCCCCTGCAACTTCAAACTCCAAAATAAATTCCAGGGCCCTGGCTCAACACAAGTCCAACAGTGGATCTTTTCTATTTGATCGGCTATTGTCTGCTGTGAGGAAGAAAAGAGGCTTAAGCAGGTGTTACTTTGGGGGTCACTTTTTGCCTTTACAAAAGGTAATGATACCAAAATATTCTGGTGAAGACAAAATCTGACCACCTATGTTAGCTACATTCAGGGTACTGCAGAAGTTAAGAATTCAGTGCTAGAAACCTGTGGTCTTTAACTATTGGTCTTCTTTTTCTCTGCTTTAAAATGGGGGCAATAATAATCATAAGCGTACCACTGAGCACGTTTCAAAGTTAAAGAAAATCATATCCATGATGTAAAACTCACACTGTGAGACCAGGTACCCATCATATACTCCAAATATATTAATGATAGTTTTTCCAGATGACTTGAGTACATATTGACTAATTTATCCTATATTCAGGTCAAATATATTTTCTGCATATATTCTGTGTTTCTTTGGCAAAATTAATCCCCTAGAAGGTAGAAACTCTATGGAAGGAAAAGAGAAGAGGTTTCTCCTGCAGAAGAACTTAGAGGAGAGGAGAGAGATGTCTGAAGTCCAATATTGTTACGTGTTCTCCAGTTCTCTGGAAGTCAGAGTGCTGCTTCTGGAAGGAAAGAACCCTGAGGGAGAAAGAACTGGGAATATGTTCGTATTCATGTTACATCGATATGAGGGTAGAAAGAGCTCATAACCCCTGGTAACTCAGTTATTTGAGCTGAGATCCCTTTAGTCAATTGAGTTAAATCAAATGTTTCCAGCGCCTTTCTTGCTGTTTTAGGTACTAATCCCAAGTCTCAAAATAATATTCTGACTCTCTCCCAGCACCATCCTCTGATAGCAAAATGTCACGTAAAGAGAATAGCCCTGGAACCGAACGCCTTGGAGGGGAGCCCAGCGGTGTGGCTTTACACTGGCAGGCACCCTGAGCTGGGGGACCCAAGGCTTCCTCGCTGAGTGTGGAGCTTCAGCTTCCGGCTAGCTGTTCACATCCAGGTACCTGACTATCTAAGCAGATTTTTTTTGCTTCATTTTATTGTTTTTCCTGTCCTGGAAAGTTATTTTACATGTCTAAGTGTCATAGCACATAGCTAATAAATGACTGAAAACCAACCTGAAAATGTATGAACTGTAATCTAAGACCGCTTTGGGTTTTCGAGAATTATGAAACATCAGACCTCACTTTTCCCCCACCTTTTCACATAATTCATTCAGAAAAGCACAGTGTGAGGGGCCTTAGTCTTGCTTAAGGCTCTGCTGCTTTTGTATGCGAAAGGGACGAGGAAGAGGGGAAGACTGTGATTTGGGAGAGAGGCCGACTAGGGCAGTGTCCCCATCAGGACTTTCCTTTCCACTGGTCTGCGGTTCAGTCTGTCTCTCTTCCTGGGTTCCTGAGAAGCCGTATCTGAGGGGTGACTCTTGAAGGTCATTCCTCTCTTGTCAGCCACGCTCTCTCTGTCCATCTTCCGTCTGGCTTCCCTCTCCAGCTCTTTAAACTTAACACGACTGAAGTTGAGCAAATCAAGCTACCCTGAAGGCTCTTTCCTCCTCCCCAGTGGGCCCTATTTGAATTTTATTACTTTTAAAGATTCGCCCATGCTTTCAGTGGCATAAAAAGCAAACGACCTCAGAGTGGCAGCTTTTAAGATTAAAGGTTTAGACTCTAAAAGCAGAAACTTGCCTGTGAGGCTCCGCACCTTGAAAGACCACAGAACCTCTTTGGATGTAAGTCTAACAGTTTCTATTCTCCAGTGAAACATGAAGCTGTTTGCGTCTTTGCTGAACTCATAAAAAAGACCCAGGTAGAGATTTTTCCATTACAAGTCTCTGTTCCTGCCATGCCATTTCAGGTAGAATAAGTGAGTTCTGATTGCAGCGTTGTAAATGTGAAATAACTCCTGAGTGATGTTGAACATCATCACAGCCACCTCACCTTCTGTCTGCATAACGTGTCTCACGAGGCCCCACGGAACGCTTCCCACAGAACATCATTCTTCCTTCTCTTCCTCCTGTGTCTCTAGGGCTGCTTCGTAATAAGACGGATGCACTGAATACAGGCATTTGTGATTCTCAGCCGCCAAAAAGTCCCAGCCTGAGCTGGGGGTGGAGAAGATGAATCAGAGCCAAGGCACAGCTGGGCTGCCAGGTGTCCAGGACTGACAGCTGCCGCCTGGGGTTTGCCTGGTAAGGGCCGCTGTCTTGTCTTTTCCTTTCCATCATTCAGTGCTGCTGCATTTGCTGACAGGGCATTCAGTTCTAATGGTCTCCACTCACATCTTGCCTGATACTCTAAATACACAAATAGTCGGTTAGCTTTAAAAATGGCAGGTTGAATGAAAATGAACTGACACAGCCCAGTGACTGTGAGAACCAGGACTGACTGACAGCTGTGATCAGGGAGTAGGGACTCATCTGAAAAAAGAAAAACACCCATCCCAGTAAGCAGTTACCTAAAGAACAGCGGGCTGCTGGTCAGGAATTGTGAAGGGACCTCCCTGACCACATAATGAAGCGAAGATAAAAACATCAATGCCACTTTCTGCTTGTTGAAACCAAGGGCATTGCCCTTAAGATGTTCTTAAACTTAACTGTTATCAACAATTGTTTTACTATAACTGTAGCCCACAACTGATCTGCCATTTACAAATGAATGCTGTCCGTCTTCTCTGAGCTCTCAATAGTGCTGAGTGGTGGCCTTGTCTCTGATTGAATTTCTCTAGCAAATTCCCCACAATTACTAATAAATATTTTCAACTCTCTTCTGTTTCCTAGACTTCACTCATCTTCTCTAACTTTCAACAAACCTTTGGTTCTTTACTCAGAAAACTCCGGGTCATATTAGTTAATTTTGCTGCCTAACAACCAAACCCAAAACAACCACCATTCAGTTCACTCGTGGTCCCATGGGCTCTTTTGCCAGGACTCAGCCAGGAAAGCTGATCTCTTGTCCCTGTGTGGTCAGCTGGCGTGGCTAGCTGGAGTCAGTCTGGGCTGGAGGATCCCAAATGGCTTCTTCCAACCGGTCCCTTAGCTGGGAGAGTGAAGTTGTGTCGAAAATTTACATAGCAAAGTAAAAGACTTAAATGATCAAAACAATTTTTAAATAGAAAAATGAAGTTGGGGGCCCCGCAGTACATACTTGAAGGCTTACCGTGAAGTTCCGTAATTGAGACCTTGCAGTGTTACAATGTCATGGACGTGTATAGACTGATGGAATAAAATGTTTATTTTGTTAGCTACTTTTAGACAAATTCATCCCATTCCTTTGAAAAATAATTCACTTCTGGTTCAGCCATTTCTCTCAGGTTCCTCCCCTATTCCATGACTCAGCCGATTTCCACCACAGCCTTCTGCTCTGAGCTTCCTCTCCCTCTGCAGAAACTTTAGCTTTCTCGGAGGGTTTCTGGAGCTTTCTCCTTGCTAACCCCACTGACCATGTGGTCTCAAAACTTATTTCCCCTGACTATCTGAGAAAATAAACAGAATTTACCACCTCTTCTTTTCTGACACTCTCTTTCATCTTATAGGACATCTTTCTGTGTGTCTGTTTCAGGGTTCACTTCTCTATTCCTGTCACATCTGGTGAGCTTCCTTTTTCTTAAAGCCCTAGCTTTGGTTATTTCCAGAGGCTGCTCAGCTCTCTGCTCGTCTTTCTCTGGGTTCTTTCTTTCCAGTAGGATTCTATATATTTCATCATCACTCTTATGTTAACAGCTCTCAAATCCCCAAATCCAGCCTCAGCTTCTTTGCAAAATTCCGTGTCTATTTTCACCACTCAAGTGACCATGAAAATGTCCTCCTATGGATGGTCTGTCCTGTCTTTATGCACTCCAGTAAACATATCGGTTTTTATCTTACAAATAATCACACACTTTTAACTTACCTCAGTGTGTTGCTCTCACTCTAAACTTTCTTGTTATCTCAGTTAATAAGACCACAATTTCCTGTGCTTCGAAAACTGGAGGGGGATCTCCATCTATTCCTAATTAGTCACCAAGTCCTGTTGATCCTTCCTGAACATTCCATACCTTTACTTTCTCCCCTTACTAAGCAAGCACCCAACTCTGTCATTTTCTGGCTCAGAGAACTCCGATAGCAATAGCTTCAAATTACTTGGCTTACTTTTTGTCTGTAAACATGACACTCCTCAGAACACCAACATCTTGTATTCCAGCCTCATTTCTGTGTCCATATGTATTCCCTAATTATTCCCAAGTAAAAATCTTTATTTATATCGTCCTCCTGCCCATACTTAGTTTTTATTCAATAATATTTTCTGTGTTACATTCTGACAATAAAAGAGAAACTCAGAGCACTAACAAAGCTCCAGAGGGAGGCTGACATGAAAACAAATCACTATAATGAAATATAGGAAGTGCTATAAAAGTAACATGACTAAGCCTTTCAACAATACAAGTGACGAGTATTCAGATCTCTACACAAGGTGGGAAAAAATACAAAAAGATCACACCTAAGAGTAGATGATGAAGAGATGATGGGAACGAAGAGAGTGACATGTGCAAAGGCTGGGACACACGACAATCCATGCCACACCTGGACAAGAAAGAGTCCAGTGTGTTTACAGTGCTCTCCTCTCACACCTGTTAACCACGTGCTGCCTGACTGCCCAGGCTCACCTGTAAATCTGTCACCTCCAAATTCCTGGTATGCTAATTCCAATCTCCTTCATCAACTGTTATGGATAGCTTATTTCACTCTTTTTGGTAAGGATTTGCCCATAAACTATTTTGATGAATTAACAGGATAACCTGCACTGTTGTGGTGGTGGTAGTATTGTTGGATGCTCCTTATCAGATTATAAGGCTCTGAAGGTAAACGATAATGACTTGTACTTAACCTCCTCCTTTTTTCTCCTTCTCCTCCTTCCTGTCATATTGTCATGGACATAAACATTCCCTAAGATCATATTAAATAGACTTTTTATACCTGGAGAATAGGGATCACTTAGATGTCATTAACTTCAGGGGTTTCCAACCTTAGCTTCTCCTTAGTGTACTTGGATGGCTTTTAACAAATACTGATTCTTCTCATGTAAGGGCCTCACTGGCGTCCAATTAAATCTGAAATCTTGAGGGAGAATTTGACCACTGATATATCTATGAAACTGTATGTATCTCTATATGTGATGCATGTTTAGGCTATATCTACAATTATGTATGAATTTGAGGGGAAGCTATGATTGAAAAGCGCTGGGACACTCTTTTCTTTTTCTTTTTTTGGTTGAAGAACTGACAGCCAAGAGAGGCGGGGTAGCTTGATACAGGTCACAAGATTTGAAGCAAGGTTGTGAATGGAAGTCTGACCTTTAATTCCTGATGAGAAACTTTGACTTACTCCCTTCTGTCTCCAAAGAACAAACTGTCTTCTTTTTGAGTAAATGGATGGAATTGTTCTCATTTCTTTGATCCTACCAGGAGGAAGGCAACAGTGTATGACATTCTTTAGGTATTGAGGAGTCTTCTCCCAGACTTGCCAGGTTATCTTAACCAGAGCAAATTCTGGGTGTATGAAAAACCCAAAAATGAAGGATTGCTAAAGTCAATTCTATTTTTTAAAACAACAAACAAAGATATACATCAAGGGGAAAACTTCATTGGAAGGAAGCCTATCTGAAATGATATTGGTGTAGCTCTAAAATTGCACAAGGAAGCTGAGGATAGCCTGAAGTTTCTCCAACGTATCACATGGCTCTGCACGGGCCAAGCCAAAGACACAAGGGTGTCCTTCACATGACACTGGAGTGACTCTGATAAACGAGAGCAGGTGGGAGCAGCGTGAGCCGATGGAAATGAGGCCGCAGCGCCTAAATGTTTTGCATTGTTTTTTATGCTGCTCTGTTTGTGCTCACTGAGTACTTTGAATGCAGAGCCCCCTGTCGCCTCCTTGTTTTTTCATCTCCCAAAGTGGGGCGGGCATTCAGGACTTTATCTCTCTAAATCTCATTGTAAACTACCTGGCTTTCTTTTCTTTTTTTTAATTTTATTTTATACCCTTTGATGCATTGTCTAATACACTTCCATTCCCAAAGATCCCTTTCCTTGTGAAATTATTTACTTATTTTCCTGGGGTATTGTTTCATGCCTCAAAAATCTGTAATTTCTCAACATTGTTTTTTATTTGCCTCACAGTGATTGAGAACGCTTCTTTTAAGTTCTCCCTTTAATCTGTAAAGAGTAAAATGCCCTGTGTTGTTGATTTTTTTAACTAAAGTAAATGTGCCTTCAGGAAGGCAGGTATTGACCTGTAGTCTTCTCTGTCCACCTAGCAATCTCACAGCCATGGACCGAAAGGGAAGAACACCAATAAGGCCTTGTTTATTTCCTTAAAGGAGAGATGTGATGAAGTGGGTCATTGAAAATGTATATGCATAAGATGTATATAACTTAGGGCTTTGGAAATTATTTTTGTACTTAAATGTGAATATATTTATGGGCCTTGAGGCCTAGAATATAGCTTCAAATAAAACTTTGAAGATGATCCCTGAATACTTGGCCCAGGGGCATCCACAGGCTGTCTTCGATAAGAAGGAGAGAATATAATTTGAGAAAATCACCACAGATGGCTCACCTGTCAGAAAAAAGATCTTGCAATGTATTTAAGAGCAGGAGCAGTAATCAGTGAAGTGTCGAGGTTTTAAATCTGCTGAGATAGATATGAAATCTAAATTTAGATCAAATAAAGAACAAGCTCTCAAAAGAGTGTCCAATTTAGCAAACTACTTCACATATCAGCAACAATTGGAAGATGTTTGACACAGACATGCTACCAGAAAGAAATATCTACAGAAAAATATGATCTTTCCTTCTTTCACTTAGGAAATGCCTATCTCAATTATATTACCACAATTGTCAGTCCACTGTTTTTAAAATATACAGCAGGGGAGTAGGTTTGGTCCTATTACCTGTTCATGTGTGAAGTCATCTTGTATATATAAGACTTTGGATGCTGGGAGCATTTTCACATTTTTTAAGTTCAGAGGCTTTGAAAAAATAAATGTATGTGTTTGTTAGTTCTGTGGACTCTTGACAGATGTCATTATACTATCCAGTGAAGTGCTCAGGTTCTGAAGAGGCACTGATCTGAGCTACCTAAAAATCTTGAGAAACTACCATACTTCTCCAACTGTGTTTCTTCAACCACATGATGGGACTAGGTATGGTAGT